ACATTTAATAGGAAATATAGTAATTACGGGTGTTAACACGGCTATACACTCAAATCAATTATTGTATAGAAGTAAATCGAAACTCACGTATGAGATATATTTCCAATTCACTAAAGTCGAACGGGTAATGTAAAATATATAGTCTTGTTACTTCGTTTAAAAAGTAAATGTAAATTAAGCAATGAAGTCAATTTCGAAGCCTGCCTAATGAGTTACATTATGTTAGTCCAACCTATACCTCTAGCTAAAAAGTTAGTAGCTAAGAGAATTCTTGCAGTTCACTGATTCAGTGGCAGCTTAAGCCCTATAGCTAGCACACACCACTCTCAAGTGACTTGGTCTGTACATACTAGTATAGTATATGGCTCGGGTTGTCTCATAACTAATGCTGTTTAAAAGTGATAGATTTTCGAGCAATTGCCTGAACTTTCACCCACGGTGCGTTGGCTGCTTTACACCGGCAGTAACAAATTGCACATTACGAGGCAGAAAAAAAATGAAATATGAGGAACTGAGAGAAAGTAAAATACATAAAATACATACTTACTTGTCACTCTGCGCCTGCCTTGGCTTACACATAAGGCACAAATGCTGCCAGCCAGTCAGACAGGCAGGCAGTCAGACAGTTAGACAGTCAGACAGTCAGACCGGGAGGCAGCAAAGCAAATTCCACGCCAAATTGCCTTCTTTTTTTGCTGTTCCGTCTCGGAAGGTGAAACGTGTACTCCAGGCCCCTCAACTTCTGTCCCACCATTCAGCGAAAAGAATGCGACACAAAGAAATTACTTTGACAAATGAAAATGTCAGAATGATGATAATTTATTTGGTCTTTGCCAATTGCACGGTACTAACATTCCAGCGGCCATTTTAATTTTCACTTTCCTTTGAACATATTGGGGGCCCGACAAAATGCTGGCCTGCCTCTAAATGTGAGTGTTTGAGGCTATAAGCAATTAAAAGTTTCGTCTGCCAATTGCGGAACATTTTTGAAATCTTTGACATAACACCACATGCTGCAATCTCTCTCCGTGTCCTACCGCTTCCCCCTGCCTTTCTCTCCACTCCAAGGCCATCACTTCACGCTTCATATGCATCTGTCTCAGATGCTTTCCAGTCAATTCGTCTTGATGACAACAACGAAGCGTTTTGCGCTATTAAGCTTTTTGGCTTGATATTGCCGTTATTTTCCGTCTGCAGGCAGCTGCACACAGAAATAAATATGTATATAGTATATACTTGTAGGTACGTCTATATGTAAAGTTACTTGTCATATAATAAACTTTTATGTTAACGGCTTTCGATGTCTTACCGGTGCGCACGAACAGACCCACAAGCCCACAGTGGGGTTTTAAAAAGTGGGGCTCCTAAAAAAATTCGCATCATTTAGTTTTTATTTTCACATATCTTACACAAATCTCATTTTACAATAGCTATACGCTTGGATTGTACGTATATATGCGTATGTGTGTGTGTCTCTGTTTTAGGCGCCATATGGTGACTTGGCAAGTTTAAATTAGAATGTAGAAAGCAGTTTCGGAGGAAACCTTGAAAGCTGCTAAATTTATTCTTAAGTAGGCATTCGGGAATATTGAAATTTTGCCAATCTACTTTGCTATACGAGTAGTAAGTCGTTTTTGTTAGTCAATCACTAAAAGTAGTGAACTATTCCTTGAGATGGTTTTTGTTATGGTGTATTTTAAAGAAAAACCTGAAATATGATGTTATATGATTAAGAAACTAGCATAATAATATCTGACCATACTGAAGCTATATTTTTTCACCGTTTTTTTTTTTGTTTTGTTTTGAAAAATGGGCTTTTGGCTTTGTTAGCTTTTGTTTGAAACACTGAGGACCATTACTTATCTTAAGTTCCAAAGACCCTAATAAACAGTTCAGCTAGCAATATTTGTCTTCAATAGAAAGTAAAACACGATCTCCTTTAAAACATTATCGAGCATCGAAGAGGTTCAACGGCTGGAACGATATATATTTTTTGTTTAAATAATGCATCCACATGTATTTTATCAATTAAACCAATTGCTGATGAATTTAAAAGTACCCCGTAAAACATAAATGATTTCAGAATTTCAAAGATATTTTTTCAAGCTTCAAAAAGAATATGAGAGCAATCCAGATTTTACTTTTGTGATTCAATGGAAGGAACTGAATTTTTAGGCAATAATATTAAAAAGTAAACAAATCATACAGACAATGGAGCGCACTTAGTTAAAATATTAATTAATTAAGTTTATTGATTTACCTTGTGTTCCTTTTTTATCCTTTCTATTCTTGATTTGCTTTTCAATAAAATTCGCAAAAGCTATTGTTAAAGAAGGAAACCGCAGCGAATAGCGAATGAAATAATATTGTTTTTGATGCCAATTATCTTTCACTTACATTTAATATTCTCAATGTTGGCTGCAAGGAAAATTATTTGGAACAATGGAGCTGCGTTTTATATACCAGCAGAAACAACAATTGCCGGAATCGCCGTCAGATAAAACAAAACAAAAAAGAAATTGGGATCTCTTTGGATTATTTTATGTTGACTATTTGGAATTTAACTTGGAGTTCTTATTCTCTTCAAAGTATCGTACGTCGATGCGAATTATCTGAAATAATTTAAATGCAATTCCATAAAAATCCTCTTAAACAAAGCAAAGAAACTCCAAATAAGGCATATTTATTTTTTGAACAAAATGCGATCTCCACTGTACATTTGAGATGGCCATATCCTTGTAGTCTGCAGCTTCAGTTGATGGCATTTTATGCACATTCCTCTTTTGTGACATCGTTTCTGCGGTGTGAGGTGCGAGTTGTGGCAGCACGGCTTACAGTTTTCTTTTTGCGGCTTTATTAGGCAAAAAAGTGAAAAATCCCACGCAACTTACTGTACGTTGTCTGCATCTACACACATACATAGAAATATATGTATATATGTATATATATATATGTCTGGGGCAGAAATAAAAGGAACGCAACGCAGGGAAGGGCATTAAAATGCTCCATAGGGTAAACGCATGAATTCCAATGGTTCTTTTTTGGGCGAAACAAAAAAATTTGCATAAATCTTTCAGCACAGCATGATGATGGGGTGGAGCGCCCATTTAGCTATGTGCATGCATATGAGTGTGTGTGTGTGTGTGTGTGTGTGTGTGTGTGTGTGTTTATAAATGTATGTACATACAAGTATAGTATGTGCATAGTAATTTATTATGACTTTTTGTATTGTTGTGTGTTTGTGGGGACCATAAAGCACTTAACAATTTATGTGGCAAAGTTTTGTTGGCGGCCGAGGTAAAGACAACTTAATCATTTACTTTGTTTAATAACTTAAACTTTATTTGAATGTTCGCTTCTGCTTTTATTTATTTATGTTTTTTTTTTTAAATAGTTTTTAATACTAATGCTTATTAACGCTCAGCTAGCGCTACACTTAAACGTTAAATTGGTTTTATAATCCCGATGCTTTCAATTTTTTGTTTCATTTGTTTGCTTTTTATTTGCTTTTTTTCGCGACAACTGCAACATTTATATTTTTGTATATACTTGTATGTATGTATAGTATTATACGAGTATCATTGCCATTGCACGCGCCTATTTATACATAAAATTTAACTTAACACTTATAATTTTTATACGCTTAACTGCAATTATTGTGGCTTCGTTTTCGCTTCGCTTTTTCTATATAGTATGTCGGTATATATTTTTTAAAATATATATTCCAACCACATTTATTTACGCATTAAACATACATTTAAATGTCGCGACTAATTTCGCATGCATGCATTTTTAATTATTCGTATTAATATTAATGTTAATATGCGTGTCTGTCCGTAGATACTTGTACGAATACATATATGGATACGTGTATATGCAGAATTATTAACTCAAATGCAGCAGCAACGCTCATGCACTCGTGCATTTTATTTACAATTTTGATCAGTTTAAATGCTGGCCAGGCATGCGGCAATAACTTTTAATAGTCAGCCAGCCATAAAAGTGGCCAGTCACATGAATTTTAAATGTGACACATTAAGCGTCAGACAACTTGTACGAGTATATACTTGTAGTATGTGGGCCATATATAGGCCAGCCGCACTATCGATTCAAGGGCTGAAAATGAGAAGGAGTGGGGTGGCAAGGGGTGGAAAATGCCTTTGGAAGCAACCTGAAGTTGAAAATGCAAATATTTTGTTGACAGGCAGTGTGACTTGCAAGTTGCTATGACGGTCGCAGCCGGACATGCAGAAATATACTCGTAACTCCAATGGGGGGCCAATGAACCAACATTGCATGCCCAAGACAAAGTAAGTCCATGTGGCACACACACTCTAGGGGATGGCATAGAGAACATGATTTGAGCATTTCATGGAACAATGCCTGTGACTGGGAGGAAGAGCAACGTTTGTTTTAAGTGCTTGCTTGCACGGTAGATAGTTGGATATGTGCCTTACAGGGACCACTTGCTCGGGGCAGTCGAAAAGGAACTTTTATTGGCAAATGAATAACTTATAAGCTGGAAGTTAAAGACTTACAGAACAATTTTAACAATGAACGGCAATTTAGAGGGTCAATGAAATTTCAAGAAAATGCTCATCAAAGCGAAATCTGCCTTAAAACATTAATGCATCAAATTGTTTTGAGGAACTATCCAGCTATACAGCTTAAATGGTACAATTATTGTTGAAATAGGACTTTGCTGGAGACGAACTGAAGTGGCGTGTTGGTTAATTTTAAATGATTATTTTTGTCTCATTGCTAAAAGTAGTTCGGAGTTATACACTACTACTTGTAGTTTGAAGTGAAACTCTCTTCTGTTTACCAACCGGTCTGAAGCAGGAGTTTTAAAAACATCTACCAAAGTAAAAAAAAACAAGTAGAAAAATGGAGTATACCTTCAAATATTTCTGAAGTCCTCTGGAAATATGTCTACGATTTTAAATAATGAGCAATGCTCGACCAAGAATTTTCGCAAAAACCCATAGGAGGTATTAGAGTCTAGTCCTGAAAATAAATATTTAATGTAATGGCTAACTATTTACAAGACTTACGAGGCTAATGCTTTACAAATATTATTAGTTTTTTCTTTTTAGTTTGTATGGCTTACAGCGCCTGGCTTAGAGCTTAGCATTTTTCAACTTAAGGAGCTATGCGATAATTTGTTTTTAATGAAAAAATGCATATATGTACAATATACTGTAACTTATTAGAGCATTGGCTATGCGTCCTTAAACAGTTTATCGGGCTCCATTCAACTTCATCTTCATTTATATCCTTATTGGCATTATGCTGTTGAGTTTCTTTTGAAATTAACTAGGAAACAAAAACGCTATGCTACACAAACTACCATTTCTGTATACTCTATGTGGATACATACTTGTATATATATATTTATTATGTTATATATTATTTTTTGTCTGTTTTACGTTTCTTTTAGTTCTGTGTTTTTGTTTTCATTTAATGGCAATAGCAACGGCAACTCGTGGCCATTTAGCTAACATGTCTAGTGCTCGTATATACATTTCACTGGATATCTCTACAAATTGCTAGTTCCGCACCCCACCCGCTTAATTACACACGCATTTACTTACAACTTAGTTAGTGAGATAGATGGAGGCAGATAATGTGAGACAGAGGAAGGGAGGGTGAGAGAGGAGAGGGGGAGCTGAGTGTTTAGCACAACAGTATGCTCAATAGCATCAGGTTTCTCATCTCCATCTCCATTATCGTTAGCATAATTAGCTAGTTTTTAAAGGTATTAAATACCCAGCAATGAACTAGAGTTTCTTGCTGTTCCTCTTGCCTCTCATCTCTCAATATTCGTGATGCTGTTCTCCCCCACTCCTCCCTACTCACATCGCATCCATACCCAAGCGGCGCTCCTGTCTGCATTCGACTGCAGTTGGCGGTGGCATTTATGTGGAACTCCACAGGATCCGGGGCTAATTTATCACCGTACAGTCGTATTGACATGCAAGTGCCGCAGCAATGTGGTCGCCATTTGAGTGCTCAACGTCTGACTCGCTCCCTGCTTCTTCTGCTGCTGCTGGTGGTGCTCCCTTGGCTGGTCATTGGACTTATCCTGCTCTGTTATTTGCCTTTGCATTTGCCTTTGGCTTGGCCGCTTCTGCGTCACTGAATGCGTCCGCTCATGTTTTCCAGCTTTGCTCTTGCTCTGTTTGCTGACACTGCCACTGCCACAGCCACTGCCACTGCCGTGCCCCCACGACCTCCATTGCGGACGCAGCAGCGTGCAGCAGGCCTCCAACAATACAAATGCTGCAACCATTGTGCTAATTACTTTGACTGCCGGCGTTGCATGCTCCGTGTGACAGGCGACGGCTACGGCTGCCGGTGCCGCATTCGTTTGCATCGCCTCGGGTCGCTCGCCTGTGAAAAGAGACATGGCATAAATGAGTTACAATTTGTTGAGGTGCCCACTCGTTGGGGGGCTGGTTCTCCTCCCCCTCCCCCTACTGCTACCCTTCCGCCATTGCTATTAGTGTGCCTCTTGTTATTGTTACTGTTGTTGCAGCAATTGCTGCTGCATGGCTTAAATATGCAAAATTTTTTGGGTTGCCGCCAGCGACCAAACTCTTCAACTCCTGTTTTGGTATACCCTTCCGAAGAGTATCACTGCTTTGCGCTCAATTTTGTAACAAAGAAAAAAGTATAGAATTTGCGAAACAAAGCAAGCACTTATCAGAATGTAAAAAAAATATCCCTTTCATGAAATAAATATTCGCTGTTAAATTGCAAAGATCTCTCTATCCGTGATGTGAATGCTATTAATAAGAGCTCTACCGAACATCAATTTAGATAAGTCTTTCTATTTTAAAAACCTCTATTTCTGCCTATTCCTATTGCCGAATTAAAACTACTCTTATGCGAGCTCAATCGTAATGTAGAGCTTTCGTTTTCAATTGACAGCCATTCTTTTCAGGCTTTAAAGTCATTTTCAAATCATTTTCAGCAAAAATTGTAAATATAAATATAAATAAATATATAAATAAAAGCATGTTTTGATGCGGCGAGGCCCAATAAACAATATTTAATTGTCTATGAATATTGACACGGAATTGAGAACAGCGTGCTTTTAATTTCATCGGTTCTATTTTTGACATTTAACTACAAGTTTTGTTTTTTAGTAAAATCGGACGCAAGCTACTCGTACATATATTGGTGGACACTTTTAAATCCTTACAATACATTTACTTTAGTAAGAAATTTGTAATTTTATTAACAAAAAATTTGTTCATGGCTCTACCCTCACTGGGTTCAGAATTAAGCTATTCCACAGCTTAATACATAGTTTATAAAAGTGTATAAGCCCGTCGTATTATATATGTTAAATGTGTTTGAATGTTTGTCAAAATTTCACTGTCAATATGGTAATTAATTAATTATTTATCTCAAAATGTTCACAAATAATAGAGCAACCTGTGTGCGTGTTCAAGACTATGCTCTTATTCCAGTTTTTCCACCCAACGTTTAAGCGGAATGATATATAACGAAAACTGTCGACTATAGTGCACTTTCTTTTCCTTGGGATTGTGAAACTATTAAAGAGACTATAGCTAGTTGCCAGCATGTGACGTGACAATGCTAAAGAAACTGTACGTTGAGCACCAAGTCGTACTAGATATGTCATATTAAACAATTCGAGATTATAATTATTGAAGGAATATATTTTTGAACAATTTATTTTTTTATTCAAATACTAAAGGAATGTGAGAAAAATGTCTGTATACATTTTTCTGTTCAGAGCTCTACATATTATGCAAAATATCTAAGCAGTAATAACAACTCCCAAATAATTTTTTAGAGTATTTAAAACTCGGCTTTTTGAAAACAGTACTTTTCTGTTGCTAAGCTTATGCAATGCTCTCTGGGCTGCTGTTGCCTCTGCCTCTGGCTCTGCTGTTTTTATTTCTTCTCTTGCTGCGGTTTGTTTTATATTATTGCAACATTATAAAGTTCAAAAATGCATAAAGTTTGTCGAGGCATAAAAAAAATTGCACAGCATTTGCGCTAGGGAAATGATTGTGTACACTACTCCCTCCCCTCTGCTCCGGCCCGCTTCTCTGTACTTCTCTCGGCCCAGCCTGCTGCACTCGCTTAACATTTTTCGTGCTCACATACAAGTATTCGCAGCTCAAGTAGCTTCAACTACTTGCATGCCAAGTTATCATTTGTGTGAGTGTATAAGTGGATGTGCATACATACATATGTATGTGTGATGTGAATATGTACGGGTATGTATGTCTAGGTTTAAGTTCTGCTGGCTGCCTGAAAGCACTTAAGCTTCTGACCAAATCTCATTTGCTTAGCTGCTTTTCACCTGTTTGTGTGTGTGTGTTTATTTGCTCAGTTTATTTATGCAGTCTTGTAGCTTCGAAAATGTCCAATTAAGCTGAATATATTTTTATTTGGATTTGAGTTTTACTTGTCAGCGCTTGCAGTCCTAATAAAGATGCATACTTCGACGGCAATCAATTGCGAGGGAGTACTTTTTAAACAGAATTTAATATAAACTGAAGCTTAACATAACTACTGTATTATGTATTGGTTTCTAAAAGATGAAATTTATTGTAAAATAAATTGCACTTTATTATACAAATGCCAGCTACAGCTGAATACATATAATATTATTTTAAATATGTACTTGTGAAGAATGTTGAATTTTCGGGGGAATTCGAAATTGCTCTCATTGCATTCTCATTATCGGAAAGTGGGTAATCAGAAAAAATGTGCAACTTGAAAATATGAAATCCCTTAATGCTTGAGGAATATATACTTAAATATGTATTCCTGATTATACAAAAAATGAATTGATCTGCCCTAACTTTTTTACTTCAAATTGTGAAATATTCACCTGATTTGGAATATAATAGAGTGGCTATAATTGGAACATTTTTATTTTCGTGTGTGATTTGACAAGAACGACTTTCATGCTACAATAAAATCTAGATATAACTGCAATTTTTTGAATGACTTTTATTCGCTATATATTCTGTTATTGGTTTTTTTCTAATCAAACAACAAATAATTCAAACTGCCCTGCGATTTTTCCAACAACAACCGCATATCAAGAGCATGAAATTTCAAATATTCCATGAAATTCAATATAATAAAGGCTGGCATTAATGCTCGCTATATACTCCCTACCCACCCACTACTCCTTTACTCACCCTGCAGCACGTGGACACGTATGCTGGCTATTTCCGTATTCGATGGATAGCACGAATATTTGCCCGAATGCAATAGATCCGCATCGTAGATAAGTAAAATGGATTTTGTTTCTTCCGATTTAATCGTTTTAAATTTTAAGCGACCGCCTGCCGTCTCCTCGCTGAGTACCTGCAAGTGACAAACGATGGTCGTGCGGTTGAGTGTGGGAGCGCATATTAAAATGGTTTTGCACGAAATTAAACAACCACAAACAAATGTTGCCATGCCTCCGCTCTGCCATAACTGCGACAACAAGGCCCGAAAACGGGGCCAAGTGCTGCTGACTAAATGCAGAGGCATGTTTTCTCATAATCATAAAAGCTGAAATTAAATACGTTGTGTATACGCAACGATGCCAAACAACAGCTCGCTCAGCGGCCCATAAAAGTTAAAAACGTTTATTCAACCGCGATTGGCTGCCAACGCCCAGGAGCCGCCAAGGCCTGATCCTGTATGTCATGATTTTTTTTACTTTTTGCGTCATCTCCGAACTTTTTGGGTAGAAACTCAATTATTGCAAGATAATTTGGCGCGCACAAGAACATGAAATTGACTTGCACCAAATTGATTTTGTGCCGCAGTGTGTTTGTGGCATAAGACCTCACAGGCACACAATATATGTTGTCTAAACTTACCTTATCCTGATGATACCAAAATATGTGGGTGGGTGGCTCGGGGCTGAACTTGATAATGCAAGTTAGATTGATGGTGCTGCCTTTGTCCACATATAGATCCGGACCGCCCAAAATTGTGGCTGTCGGCACTGTAACGAGTCGAGAGTTTTTTTTCTTCATATTAGCAATTGCCACAACAGTATGGTGCCCAAAGCTATAGTTTTCACACTCTGATACTGATACGTTATTCATTAAATATTCATTAAATTCTTGTTTCGACTGACGCGTGCATCGAATTTGACAGCTGAATGATTTTAAAGAATTGTATATATGAACAGAATGGAATTAACAAAAGAATACATATTAGCTGTTGTTAAAATAAATGCGATATTGTTGTTTATGAATATTTTTTTAATGTTGTATTATATTGATATCCCTTATTTAATGCAGTGTCTGATTATTTGACGCGAATGTGTTTTGTAAGTTTGCGTTATTACATAACACACATAGGAAAAGTCAACGCTATGTCTGTATTTAAAGCGAAATAGATTGATTAAGTACAGTTATTAGTTTACTCTTTAAAAATAGTGTATTTATCAATTTGAGGTTATGACACATAAATATTCCTTGCTTGTTATAAAGCAATACTTTTTAGTAAATATTTTTGAATATATTTCCATTTAAAAGAACAAATTATGTTTTAAAAAAACAAATTGATATTCTGCAAATAAATTTACTGGATTTGTAAAATAACATTTTTACTGTTTTATCACTGCATTGATTTAAAAAAACAACCAATATTGCTGAAATTGCAAATTGAAAACATTGACTAAAAATAATGCTTATTGTGCATTTATATCTTCATATATTGCTCTATCTCTGTAAGTATTAAGGAACTAGTTATGTATTTTTAGTAGCGTGCGTGTCAGTTTTTATTTTAATAACCATATTCAGTTAGTTGGGTATATTAAATGTATATTGGAATTCTTGGGAGTAACTTGCAATTGAAAAACATGGAAGCAAATTTCATGGCCTATGTTTGTTGTTGTCATATATATACTTGTATATTGTTTTGTCAATATACTCGTAGTCCATACACAAAATAAATTTGTTTTCGATACTCAATCAGTGCCCGTTTCTAGTTAGTGTTAGTAGCGCCCAGAAGTCAACAAAGCGAATTGAAACTTCGGAGCAATTCAAAGCTTCATTTAGAAATCGGAGCGCTGATTTTTTGTGTGTGAAAAATGGTCCGGTCTGCTTTGACTCGCTAATTAACAGCTGAACGGCTTTTGTTAATCAGTTGAGGCTAAGTCGGCAATATGCGCGCACTTGTGTTTGTTGGCGCGGTTCTGTGTTTCGGTTGGCATCTGGATCTGGCCAACAGCCATAGGGACTGGTGTGCTATACCATATTGTGCCAATCACAGCCTGCGGCACATTGCATGCCTAAACAGTGGTGTGAGTTTTGTAGCAACAGCAGGAACACCGACCATACCTTTGATAATTTTGCACAGGATTTCAGTGAAGTGTATTGCCATCGACGACGACTTCTCACCAACATGACCAACTTCAGGGCCTACATACTGAAAATGTTTAACAAAATGCGGAACGAAGTGGCCGGCGGCTGGTGCGTGCATCTGGAACCTGCTGTTCACATGCCCGAGCTAGTTTGGAACACCGAGCTGGAGCTAATGGCCGAATATCGTGTCAAATATTGTAGGGAACCCCCCAAAGATTCTTGCTATGCGGTGTGCGGAGCCAACGAACCGCAACCTCTGATCGCAGAGGTCAACCTGTCGCCGGCTATATCGAACATTTACAAGGGAGATCAGATAATACGATTTGTCCAACGTTGGATATCATCTTTGTGGGAATTGCGACGCAATGATATTCGAAAATACGATGCGCAGGATGAGCCGCAGTAAGTGCAATAAAGGAAAAAAAAGTTATTTAAAAAATCATCATGCCGCTAAGAACAAAAAAAAGTTGCTTAAAGAATCGTTAATGCGTTGCCATTTACAAAAATTACTCAAAATTAATTTTTAACAATGCCCGACTTTAAGATTTTAAATAAAATGTCAGTAATCACGGTAAAATGCGCACCTAGACAAAAGCGCAAAGATTGCTGAGTATTCAGCTTAAAACTATTTTACACTGTGTACAAAAAGTCGAAATAATTTTCGAAATTGTGAAATTCTTTTCATTCTTCTGAAGGACACGAAGGTCATATTGAAGGTAGGAGGCATCGCCTTAACGAATCTTTCCTTATTCAGATGAGCCAAATCTAAGGTAAAACTCTGTTTAAACAGTCGCTTTATACGCCCCATGGCCATTGGTATTAATGAAAAAAATGATCAAGTGGGTTGCTCCTCCGCAATCGACAATGATGAGCGAGTTTTCCGTTTTCAAATGATATGTCTCTTCAAAATGGGCCCCAAACATGGCGACACGATTTATAAACAAGGAAGATTTAACCATTCGAGGTGTAAGCTTGGCCGTAGTAGTCAATGGCTGGATCTGTGCAGAACTGAAGAGAAAGATCACTTACAGGGAATAATAAATATTGAAGGAAAGCCACACAGGAAACCCATTGAAATTGAAAAATAAATCTGCATATTTCTAATGAATACATTTGTAAAAACAAAGTAGAGGTAGGGTGTTAAAAAAATAAATAAAAATGTAAGAAAACACCTGGCATGCAATAAAACTGAATTGCTTCGCAGCAGTTGTTTATTCAGATTACATTATATAAGCAGCGGGGCTTTCAGCTCGATGCTCAGTCTAATTCCAAAATGCGTCTAATCCACATCGTATTAAGTGAGCTGGTCTGGCTGGGTTTGTGCCAGGCTATCGATTTTTGTGAGATAAAGGCCTGTAAGGAAGTGCCTCATATTGGCTGCCACAATGACATGGTGAGTCCTTCGCCCTCAGCTTTGCTGGCATACTAAAGGTACGCTATTCTAATCCTTGTCTCCTTTAGAACTTTAATAGTCGCTGTCTTCGCACTCACTTTCTGATCAAGATACGACCTTTTACCGAGTATCTGATCAAGATTCACAACAAATATCGTCAAAATGTGGCTGCCGGTGAGATTCGCCAGCTTCCGACGGCAGCCCATATGCCTGAACTAGTGTGGGACGCCGATCTGGCACTAGTGGCCGAATATCATGTGAAACAATGCCAAACAGCTCTAACTGATTATTGTGTCGCTACAAACGATTTTGAAGCGCCAAAAGCAAATGTTGGCGCCGTTTTCGAGTCTCGCATCAGAGGCTATTCGTCCACCAACACCGAATATATATCAATATTTGCTGAGCAATGGCTTCATCAGGTCTATTCGATAACATCTGGCGATATACATGAATATGTACGTCAAGAGTACAGCCATATTATGACAATTCTAAACGAAAAAGTCTCCCATTTCGGGTGTGCAGCGGCCCAGGACTTTAATTTGAAGCACACCCGATTTCTGCTCATCTGCTACTACAGCTCAGCACCCACATTAGGGACAATCGTGTATACCACCGGAAACTTCACACCCGCGGATTGTGAAAATGGACCCAGCACTGATCATCCAAATTTATGTAAAACACTACCAAAAAGTGCCTAAATGCTAATCTAAAAAGTACTGTAGGTTCAATGTAAAATACGAAATTCTTTTGAAAGCTAGTTAATATTTTAAATAAATTAAATTGCTTAACTAAGTTTTAGTTAATCTATCGCTTATGACAGGTTATTACAACGAAAGGTGCTTTTAATGGATAAAGGCGTTAGCAACATGCATTTTTCATTTGTTCATCTTTTTTTTTTTTGTTAATTCATAGATTGATTGACAAAGCGGCTTAATGACCCCATTCATATGCTATTTTCACAATTCAATTACTTTACTTTGAATGTTAATTATTTAGTTGCTTAAAAAGGTACAAGTTGCTTTCAAGCGAAATCCTTGTAGAAAAATAAATAGAATTTTTACTGCAACCAGCTCCATATATTCAATAATAATTTTAGAGCGTGTTGTTGTTTCAGACAAACGTAATAACTGAGGAAGTGGAGGTTAGTTTTCGATCTGATGGATCTAGAATGGTTGACAAAGAGGCTTAATGATATTATTTTCAAAATTCAATTATATTCTTTGAATCGGAATTACTTAGTTACCTATAATTTGCTTTCAAGCGAACTTGAAACATTTTTAGAAATTCTTTATAGATCGAAACTTTGAAAGCCAAATTTTCTATCTACTTGTAATTCAAATACTTGGCAGAATTTTTTTGTTGCAATTAGAACTTGTTGTTGTTGCAGACAACCATTCGAATGCAAGTGGAATGTCAGTTTTCGGTCTGATGGAAACAGAAATTTTATTTGAAACCAAATCGCTTGCAATAATGTGTATTTATTTATTTGTTTATTTTTCCGTATAACAGCTAGCAATGTTTTTTCATCTAGTCATACTTATAACTAATGCAATACAGCATTACAAAAAGTGCACGTGCTCAAGTGTTTTGGGTGGCGGTAATTAAAGAAGCATTTATGCCACTTGAGAATGTGAACGGAAAATAAAATTGGAAAACATTTGTGGCACTTTTTGCAGTTGTTGGCGAACTCAAGCGCGTCTCAACTTTCGGGTAGAATTTCACTTTAACCCGAAAATAGCGGAAAGTAAGCGGTATGAAAAAATAAAGAAAAATAAAAACGGCACGCAAAGTTGGTCGGTAAAAGGTTGTTGGAAAGCAATTTGTTAGGCATGAACCAGAAAAGCGTCTGCATCTGCAGGCTGAGTTGGCGGACTCCAAGACAGCCGTATTCGCAGTCAGACTCTCAACAGCAGACCGGCAAACACTTGACGTCCGCCACAAGTGGAAAGTGTGGCATAAAATATTAAAAAAAAAAAAATAATATACATGCATGCGACAGGCATGAGTATAACTTTATCTTTCTATTCCAATATCTGTGTGTATGTGTTTGTGAGTGAGTGTATGAGCATAAGTTTGTTAGTCGAGCAAAGTGGCAGCTGCTGCACATGAGTGTTCAGCTTCCCCTCTTAATGCCCCCTCCGGTTATTTCTTCATAATCTAATGTTGCACTACAAACCAGCGACCGTCTGAATGGGTCCAAACATGCCCGCAAACTCATCATCGCTGGACTGATAGACACGATCCGAGCTAATGTAGAAGGCATCATCGTTGTAATATTGTTGCATCAAATTGCTGGTCTCGGCATCAATGAGATCTGACGTGGTTGTGTTGCACGTGATGGGACAAACAAAAATGGACATAATGGAAAAAAAGAAAAAAAGAAAAAGAAAATGGAAAAAGAGTAAAAAGTACGAGTATTATAAAAATGCAAATAAAAACCAATTTAAATGCAAAATAGTGTGAAAATATGAAACACAAAATCAAATGAATTTTTAATCAAGTAACAATAGAGCCACTCTTTTTTCACTTATTTTAAAAGCAAACAATGCATCGAAGAAATTAAAAATGGATTTAATCAACAGCATTATTGACTTTCACTTTTTCCTGATTTTAATGTCTGCTAATTTTTTTCAATGGCGTTGATTTGAAGCGCAATGTAATTGAATTGAACTTTTTGGGTCAAATGGCTGTCATTGTAAGCCCATTGTCAGTTTTGGATATGAATACTAATCTGATGTAAAATATTAGATGCAAAGGACACTACAGTTATCCATCAAAAAAAAATGCAAGATAAAGTAAAATATTTGAAGACAATTTAATTAAATAGTTCAGCTAATTATTGGCAATTACTAGAAAATTAAAACCAATAGCTATGGGTGCCTACAAAACCTTTTTGCATCTAAGCGTTTGTTGTGTGGTTTTTGGCAAGAAACGAAACAATTAAGCAATTTTGAATCTGAGGTGGCTTAAATGCTTAGTGTACTTTCCCTCAATTCAATTTTATATAATTACATATTGAATCACTTTTCTTTGCCCAACTGCCGTCTCCTTTTCTAAGGATTTCCCATTCACGGCAAGTAGCTACATCTTAAAAATGAAACACTTTTCTGCATTACTTTTGTATATTTTTCACATTATCAACATTTTGTAGGGAGCTGTGAGTTGGGAATTTATACGCTTCTGCCAATTCGCCATGCATGAGTCCATAAAATGTAGCTCCCTTTCACGCTAGTGGCAAATAATTCACATATTTTCCAGTGCATTCTTTAGCACAGTACAGAGTACAGTATTTTCTTGCTCTTACGAGTATACTGTATTTTGTATCGTTGCGAGATTGTCAAGTGTGCATAATTTACGCCTTGCAAATTGCATGAATATGCAAAAAATATTATGAAATGCGCAATTTCTTGTTTTGTGCTGTTTTATTTATGTGCATGGATGTACAAACCTACATAACATACGTGCGACTACATAGTATACACTCGTATACTCGCACAGTTTAAGCCGGAATGTGAAGTCTTTTGCTTCATATCATTGAATCAGATGCTGGGGAGCTGTTGATAAACACCAACAGGCCCGGAAGCTGCAAAAACGTGCAGATGCAGAGCTGAAATCGATGCGGGGTATTTATTCGTATGTAGTATGTACATACATTTCTATAATATATGCTGACACAGATTTTTTGACAAGCTGTCCCCCTCACTCTCACTCGCACACTCCCTTTCCCTTTTCTACTCACCCACAATGTTCAGATTGACCGAAAAACTGCGCACAGGCTGCGTCGATATTTGGCACTCATAAACGCCAGCATCACGCTGTTGGGCCCATTTGATTTGCAAGGTCCACTCGTCGATGTCGCGATGATACGAGGTCTGGAACCGCTGATCTGTGGTATATGTGTACGTGCCCACAGTCAGTATGTGGAGGTCGCGATGCCGGATCCAAGCAACCTGTAATTAAACGAAAACATTTGCGTACGCTTTAAATAAGCCTCAATAACAGCCTGTCTAGACTTGCAAGATGTGCCTTTTATACGACCATACTATGCTTAGGTACCCAAGTATTATAAGCAGATGTATATATGTTTATTTTTGTATTCTTCAATTTGCATTTGCATTTTAAAAACCTTTGCCAATTTGGCGCACACAAAACAAAGCTAATGCTAATGCTTATGCTTATGCTTATGTACCGGGCCAAGCCCCTAAAGCAATCGCACATGCCTCTGTCTATCTGTGTATCTGTGGGTCCGGCTGTCTGTCAGCCAACGATTGTGGCTGGAAAGAAAAAAATTAAATGTATGCAGCACATCTACATTTTAAATAACTAAAAATTAGTGTGCGCAACGCATGACAGCGTCGGAAAATGATACTTCCGTTATTTTTTATCCTGCTACCAATTTTCGAATTCCTTTCCTTTTTTTTGTTTGTTCCTTTGCGGCCAACAACTGGCAACAAAAATATACAAACTACATTTTACATGCGCACACATTCAGAGATGTACCTAAAAAAAAAAAAAACACTTGGCAAGTTATACGAGAGCCCGCAGTCGCAGCCACAGTTCTAAGCCTTGTTTATGCTGCTAACTGTCTAACCAATGCGGCTCACACACACACACACACACACACACACACACACACACACACACACACACACACACACACACACACACACACTCACACACACACACAGAGGGAATCGCTCTGCGTCAAGCCAGCGAACTGTACCAGCCATCCAGTCATCCATCCATCTGTGCTTCCCCGCTCCGCTCTCCCCACATCGCCTGTCTAATTTTGCAATAACGAAAAATGTGACTGAACGCTCAAATGTACATATGCATGTATGCATGTATACATATACAACATATATATACATATATACACTTACTACACAGGCATACGTCCCATAGTCTGTCCTTTCTATCCGTTCATCCTCTCGTCCGAACGTCCGTTTGTTCGCTGGCCTGGCACATGGCACCAAACTTTTTGTTACAGTTTTTGCTTGCACACAAAAAAAAAAAAAAAATAAAATCACAAAAAATGAATCTTTGCCAACATAAATTTACCGTTAGCAGAAATGGCCAAAAACGAGCCACACGCCAGTTAACTAGCAGGGAACAAGCGAACGAGCCAACCAAACAGAAAGCAAGGAGAAAACAAGATAGAACGCTACAGTCGAGCAAGCCCGACAGTAAAATAGCCTGTACTCTCCACAAAAAAAGAAAAATTAAAAAAAAAAAATTTAAAAAAAAAATTAAATTATTAAAAAAAATTAATGAATTAATTAATTAAATTAAATTAGAATATATGTTTATGTTTAGTTTTAACAGCATACATTTACATCACGTACCTATGCGTGTTTATATGCGTGTATGTATGCAGCACAAAGTTGAACCAAAGCAGCAACAACAACAACAGCTGCGGGCAGCGCTGCCGACAGAGGCAGCGCATGAGCAGCGATTTTACTTATGGCTATAACTTTCTTCAGAATTGACCTATCATGATGAAATTTGGCACACGGACACATTAGTACTAACTGGATGTACCTACCAAAATTGATTTCAAAATTCCGAGAATTACGGAAGTTATAAGAAAAAACACGAATTGCGGGGGAGTGGGGGGGTGCATCGAAAAAAAACTCAAACTCGTACTTTCTCGGTCTTAGGAGAATATGGAAACCAAGTTTGGTTATTCTAGCTCTTATACTTTCTGAGATCCTTGCGTTCATACGGACAGACGGACAGACGGACAGACGGACAGACGGACAGACGGACGGACGGACAAGGCTATATCGACTCGGCTTCTCATCCTGATCAAGAATATATATACTTTGTGGGGTCTGCCACGCCTCCTTCTGTGTGTTACATACATGCGCACAAAACTAGTATAGCCTTTCACCCTTTGGGTACAGGCTATAAAAACGAAAAACAACTCAAACGCAAGCAAAACCCCAACTTCTGCTCTGTCTGGCACTATATAGTATAGTAGTAGTCCAAAAGGCTGGACGTGCGTATGAAATGAGTGCTGTGTGTAGTTTACTGATTGCGGAAGCGGATTTGGTTATGTGAAAATCTATGGACGACCCTCCGCCTCTTTTGCTTCAATCACACTGGCTGGCATAAGTCTGCGAAGAGGGCGGTGGCAAATGAACGATTTAAAATCGGAAAAGAGAATCGGAACACCATAGGCTACAGCTAACTTCGTACGCGCAATAATTTAGGAAACTTTATAGCAATATTATTCTTAAAACATCAATGTTTTATATTGTGGTTCATCATTTGTTGCATACTTATAGGGTTTAGGCATTCAGCTTGAGAGAACTCTAGTAGGCAGGTCCTCTGTAAGCCACCTTTTCAATCTTTTCTTCTCTAGGTTAGCCTATCACATTTGATTGGTGATGGTGAAGGCATTTCATTTTGGGGCAGGTGATCAAATGACTTCGCCAACTTTAGGGATTTATGGATTTTTTTTTTTTTTTTTTTTTTTTTTTTTTTTTTACATATATACAATTTATTAAACTAGTTATAGCCTGTACCCAAAGGGTGAAAGGCTATACTAGTTTTGTGCGCATGTATGTAACACACAGAAGGAGGCGTGGCAGACCCCACAAAGTATATATATTCTTGATCAGGATGAGAAGCCGAGTCGATATAGCCTTGTCCGTCCGTCCGTCCGTCTGTCCGTCTGTCTGTCCGTCTGTCCGTCTGTCCGTCTGTCCGTCTGTCCGTATGAACGCAAGGATCTCAGAAAGTATAAGAGCTAGAATAACCAAACTTGGTTTCCATATTCTCCTAAGACCGAGAAAGTACGAGTTTGAGTTTTTTTTCGATGCACCCCCCCACTCCCCCGCAATTCGTGTTTTTTCTTATAACTTCCGTAATTCTCGGAATTTTGAAATCAATTTTGGTAGGTACATCCAGTTAGTACTAATGTGTCCGTGTGCCAAATTTCATCATGATAGGTCAATTCTGAAGAAAGTTATAGCCATAAGTAAAATCGCTGCTCATGCGCTGCCTCTGTCGGCAGCGCTGCCCGCAGCTGTTGTTGTTGTTGCTGCTTTGGTTCAACTTTGTGCTGCATACATACACGCATATAAACACGCATAGGTACGTGATGTAAATGTATGCTGTTAAAACTAAACATAAACATATATTCTAATTTAATTTAATTAATTAATTCATTAATTTTTTTTAATAATTTAATTTTTTTTTTAAATTTTTTTTTTTTAATTTTTCTTTTTTTGTGGAGAGTACAGGCTATTTTACTGTCGGGCTTGCTCGACTGTAGCGTTCTATCTTGTTTTCTACTACCAATATGGCAGCTTAAGCTAGTTGAAAGTTAGGGAATACAAAAGTTGTCTATAGTAAGCATCTATAGGACGCACTTATATCTATGTACATATATACAATATTTACAATGTTTTACATGAAAAATGATTATATTTTATGATATATACTATGTATTTTATACAAGGGCTCTTGTGGGGAGATCCTTTGGATGGCACTTCTTCAGTCTTCTCTTCTTAGGTTTGGACAGGAGCCGCCTCGCTAGTGCGTTGGGGTGACTGCCGAGTCGCTTCTCGTAATTGCTTGCGTGCATTTGAATGACATCGCCAACCTTGGGGACACATAAGTCTCTTTCGATGTCCCTAGTGCGCATATACCAGGGAGCGTTGCATATTTTTCTAAGTATTTTAGCTTGCGCAACTCTTATTTTGTTTAGGTTTGAAGCAGCGGCAATGCCATAAATTGGTAGCGCATACTTCCATATTGGACTTAATATGGACTTGTATACTGTCACCTTACTGTGCAGGGACAGCTTGTTGCATGGTGCAAGCAGCCATGCCATCTTTCCGGCTTTCGCCATGACCGATCGCTTCACCATTGTTGTATGCTTGCTGAAGTTGAGTCTTCTGTCCAGAATTACACCAAGATATTTGTGCGAATTTGTATGACTGAGCGTGGACCCCAACATTGTGATATCTCCGCATGACGACGGCCTTGTTGTAAATGTGACATTCGCACACTTGCTGGCGTTGATACCAATGTTCCAATTCAGAGCCCACTTCTCGAAACTACTTACATACTGCTGTAAGGCTTCCGAAGCTACATCGATATCTCTGCTTCTGGTAAGCACCGCAGTGTCGTCTGCGTAAGTAGCTATTAGTGCGTCATCCTCGTCTACTCCAATGATCTCTTGCGGTGCAGGCATATCAGCAGTAAATAATGTATACAGGGTAGGACCGAGAACACTGCCTTGGGGCACCCCTGCACAAATTGAGCGCCTCGTGGATTTCACTCCATCAACAGCAACTCTGAAGCTTCTGTCCCTTAGAAAGCTTTCGATGAGTTGAAACAATTGAGGAGTTAGCATGCCTTTCAATTTGCAGAGGAGACCATCATGCCACACTCTATCAAAAGCTTGTTTAATATCCATAAACACAGCCACTGAGTACATCTTTTGCTCCATGGCTTCCAGGGCGAAGTTGACCACACGGTGGAGCTGTTCCGGTGTTCCGTGACTTCTTCGAAAACCAAATTGCCATTTTGGAATTCTGCGCGTCACGGCTTCGAGCTGGAGAATCCGGTCCAGAATCACGCGTTCCATCATCTTCCCGAGGGCAGGTAGCAGACTAATCGACCTATATCCATCTACTTCAGTATGCTGTTTCTCTGGCTTTGGAATCATCGTAATTAGCGCCATTTTCCAGCAGTTTGGAAAGTGCCTCAGCCTGAGTATGTTATTCATGAGCAAGACAATATACAGCAGAGCCCTTGTGGGGAGCAGTTTCAGCGTCCTGTTGTCTAAAAGGTCTTCTCCAGGCGCTTTTTTTACCTTTAGATTTTTTATCTGCTGTACCACTTCTTGAAGTGTAACTGGGCTTGCAGGCAAGGCCATTTGGAATGGCATCTCCAGCCTAAGCTCGACTACCCTTCGCCTATCTGCTGTTGTAAAGTCAAAAGGCTTAAATCTTTCCTCTAGGCTGTTTGCAAAGATTTCAGCTTTCTGCTGACTGGAGTAGCTCCATCCACCTGTAGGATCCTTAATTGGAGTCTTAGGGATGACCAGCCTCTTAAATCGCCTCGTAAGCTTCCAGAGCGAGTAATTAAATGATGCATCTGGACCAGCACTTTCCAATATGTCATCAATTCTGCCTTGT